ATTTCTTTATCCCATCGACTCTGTATAAAGAGTCATAAAGTCATTCTTCAATTGCTTGGTACTGCACCACTTGAGTTAATTTAATTGGCTTAACGTGTTCAAAGAGAAAACACCTGTTAAGTACTTGGAGCACGTGTAATATGCCTTGTTTTGGCCAGATGATACGTCTCCCACAGCAGCTGAGGCCGCTATTTTAATTAACTCTCTTGTTCGTGACTAAACAGAGACAAGACTCCAAATTGGGATTCTTTGGCACTGTGTCATGTATTTATTGTTGTTTTTTCTCTCTCTCTCTTCTTAGATTGTTATTGATCATTTTTGTTAATTAACTCTTGCAATATTTCTTTAATATAGAATATATCTCCATATAAGTAAGCCTGTCTCTTGAGCAATGTGCTTGAAAATTGCACTGCCTTGTAAAGTTGCATTTTACCTCAAAAGTTTGTAGGTAAACCTTAATCTTTTGGACCCTTCATATTATGTCCGCGATAGTAAACATAAGTTCTCTTTTATTATAAATGGTCCAAATATAATTTTCGTTTAAAAAAAAATTGACCTATTTTCTTAAGCTGAGGGCTTAATATCTGTTGCTTGAAAAAAAAATTCTTTTATTTTTTTTAGTCTCATTAAAAAAAAAAACTATGTGAAAATTTATATTTTTAATTGGATCACTTTCAAAATGAAACCATAAAAATCATCCTCTATGATATGTGGTGAACCCAACTTTTATTATAGGTGATAGAATGCACTTAAAACCTAATTTATTTATTTTTGGTATAAGCTTAATTAATAAAAAAAATCACTCTCTTTACGAAAACTGTGGTATTAACTACTTAATTTGCCCCCTTATTAATATGTTCGAACACATTCCACCTTGATTGCGATCATTCCCTTTTTTTCAATTTAAAATATATTTAAAAATAATTAATATTTAGATATATGTAAATATCATATAATATTTTATATGATCTCTTAAGAATAATTTTTTTTAATATTTGATAATTTATTTAATTACTAATCAAAACGCCATGATTCGATCTGCTACCCATGTTAGAACTTGTCGAGGTAAGATATTGGCTACACCACCTACATCCACATTTAACAAATAATCTAAACAAAAATTATAATTAAAAATAAATTAAATTAGTCAATACATGTATTACTTAAGAAACATAGTTTTGAGTTCTAAATTTCATCAGGTGAACATCGATCATATGGAGATTTTCCTTTGGAGTGAAAATATAGTTTTTATAATTTAAATTTAATTTAATTTTTTTTTATTCTTCAAACAAAATTTTGGAGCACAAAAACAAAAACTTTGACAACAAGTTATTCACTAGCTCGAGGAATGATTAGATGCGTCTTCAATTGTTTTTACTCAAATGTTTAGATTGTATTGTGGGTTGAACGGTGCTTTTATGATTCAAATTAGTAGGAAAAAATAGATATATATAGCAGAAAATAGAACAAGCTAGATATGAGATTGCTGCTGATGCAGGACTGGAGCTTCTGCAAAGAGAATCAGAGGAAGTCTCTAGTTGTTTTCAGTTTTTTTTTTTCTTTTTTTTTTTGTAAAAGTGGTGGGTCAAGCCCATAGAATTAAATTGAAAGCTGATGCATGTTAAAGGAAACATGCTCCATCAGCAAAAACTTACAAAAGTCGCTCCAAAATGGAAAGATACAAGTAGGAGGAGAGGAATATAACTCTAACTCTCCATTCCTACTCTTAAGACCTACCAAAGCTAAACTATCAGCACACAAGTTAGCCTCTCTAGGAACAAATTCAAAAGCAACATGCTCAAATGACAGTAAACTATTTCTAATTATCCTAGCTACCAAGGAATAATCATCTAAATCATTCAGATTAACTACACATGATAAGGCTTCTTTGCTGTCACTCCCAAGCCAAACTTTCTTGATCTTTAAATCACTTGCCAGCTTAAGTCCTTGCCAAATGCCCCACAACTCAGCTTCAAAGCTAGAGCAGCAACCAATTTTTAAAGAGAATCCACTAATCCAGTCACCCTTCCAAGTGCATATCAAACGTCCACATGCTCCTGACTTAGACTCCAAATTCACAGCACCATCAACAAAGATTTTGAACACCTCCTTCTGCTCCTGATAACCAGCCTCAAACAGAGAAGAAGAGTGATCTATTTTCTAAGTAAAGGGGTCCTCAGAACAAATACTATTCATATCTCTCAGATACAACAGGATTCTGCTCATCAGGTCACTAGGCCAGTCAAAAAGATCTTCATGAACAGTTAGATTTCTCCACTGCCATAGCATCCAACAAGTGACAAAAAATGCTTCCTTCCTCGAATGCCATCATTTTGTTGAGAAAGATTTGAAAATATTTAATCTAAACCAGTCAAAATCATTAGTTAGCAGAAAATCATCAGGTATCTTACCTCCAAACCATCTCTCCCACACCTTCCTAGCCTTCAAGTAGTCTCTCATCACATGCATTAAGGTCTCATGTGCTGATGAACAAATCGGACAGAGAGTCTCCCCTCCATTCCACAAGCTAGTAGAACTTCTAACTGGCAATTTATTAAGACATGCCAGCCACATAAAAGTAGCAACCCTAATGGGTCCTTTCCATTTCCATATTAGAGACCAGACTTTATCCTTCTTCAAATTTTCACCCAGTAATTGCTGATAAGCATTCCTAACCAAATAACAACTTGGGCTGCTACGTAACCAGCAAATCCTGTCCTCAGGGCCATTTGAGACTTTGCAGCCTCCTAAGTGTAATGACATCAAGGTAATTCTTCAAATAATCCCATTGCCAATCACCTGTTACTTGATCCATAATATCAATCACCTTCAATTCCTGTTCTGCAGTACAAGGTTTGGTGAATGCAAGCTCGTAGAGGTTATCTTCCCATCCGTGCCAACAATCTGTCCAGAAATATACTGAATTACCATTCCCCATCTCCCAAGTCAGATGTTGATCCAGTTTCACACGAATAGCACAAATGCTCTTCCATAAGGGTGAATCTCCATTTCTGACAACTAGCCCTCTCCTAGGATCATGTTTTCTTCCATATTTCCCAAGAAGAACTCTACTCCAAAGGCTGTTAGGTTCATTAATAAGCATCCAAGCTCTCTTTTGCATGAAAGCTTCATTTTGCACTCGAAGGTTAATGATGCCCAAACCTCCACACTCCTTGGCCTCATAGAACATAGTGAGCTTTCCTTTTTGCATCTGAATCTCCCCAGATAAAATTCCTTTGTAGTTTTTCAATTTCTTGACAAACATGAACAGGAAGAGAGTTGTTTTGCATGTGATACATAGGTATAACTGCAATCACACTCTTGGTAAGAGTGATTCTACCAGCCAAAGACAAACATTTGGTCTTCCAACCTTGGAGCCGATTCTGCACTCTTCCAATAACATTAGAATAATGCTGCCTACTAGTCCTCCCATGTCTCATCAAGGTCCCTAGATAGAATCTGATCCCCTTAACAACTTTGAACCCACTAGCATCAGCCAAAGTATTCACTGTCTCCTGATTTGTTTTCTTAGAGAAGTAAATACAAGACTTCTCCATACTAACACATTGGCCTGACATTCGAGAGAATTTCTCCAAACAGCCTGTAATACACTCCATCTGGCTAAGGGAGGCTTCAGCAAATAGGATGATATCATCAGCAAACATTAGATGTGATATTTGAGGCCCTGTCCTACCAGCTCTAATTGGGAGCCATGCCTTCCTATCAACTTCATCCATAATAAGATGGGTCAACTTCTCCATGCATATGACAAATAAATAAGGAGACAATGGGTCCCCTTGCCTGAGTCCCATTTGAGGAGAAAATCCCTGAGTCCTACTTCCATTCCATAACACTTCAATAAATGGACTTGTGACATAGCCCATAATAGCAGCTATAAGTTCACCTGGAAGCTTCATCTCTTCAAGAACAGCCTTGACAAAACTCCACCTGAGTTTATCATAAGCCTTCTCTAGATCAATCTTGATAGAGAAATAACTCTTCTTTCCATGCATCCTATGCATAGAGTGAATAAGTTCCTGGACAATAATAATATTGTCCTGAATATTCCTCTTGGGGATGAAGCTTACCTGATTAGGAGAAACAAGCTCACCTATGAATGGTTTGATCTTGTTAACCAGAATTTTACTCAATCCCTTGTACACAGTATTACATAGTGCAATAGGCCGAAACTGCTTCATGAAACAAGACCTCTCCACTTTGGGAATTAGAGCAAAGAGAGTCTGATTGATCTCTTTAATCTGCTCAGGCTTGCTAAGATACAACTGCATGCTATTGAAGACTTGGTCTTTAATCAGCTCCCAATTCTTATGATAGAACAATGCTGGATATCCATCTGGTCCAGGAGCTTTCAATGGGGCCATTTGAAAGAACGCATTCTTGACATCCTCAAGAGAAATATCCAATGACAATAGGTTTCTATGTTCCTCCCTGATAGCTGGCCAAGAGCAACTAGTCTGACTCCACCCTGATTCAACCAAGTCATCTGTGAAAAGGTTAATGAAGAAGTTCCTGGCCAGATCAATCAATTCCTCCTCTCCAGAAATCCATCCACCACCATGATTTTGAAGTTTGATAATTTTGTTCCTATTCCTCCTAATCAAAGTGCAAGTATGATAATACTTAGTATTTCTATCACCCCTTTTAATCCAATCCCCTTTAGATTTCAGAAACCAAATCTGCTTCTCTTGCTCTAAAATATCAGCAAGTTCCTTATTTAGATTAGCTTCTAATTCATCCAAATGATAGTTATTTCTCAAGCTCATCTGTCTTTGGATGCCATCCAGCCTAGCTATCACCCTGTTTTTCCTATAGTGAGTAAATCCAAAGACCCTCATATTCCAGCTTCTGACTGCTGGAGTAAAAGATGTCAAACTGTCCAAGAGCTTAGAGCTGGTATCCCGATTGGTTCTGATAAAGGAGTTAAATCGAGAATCATTTTGCCAAATAGCCATGAACCTGAATGGCCTCTCCCTCCAACACTAATCCTCTTTATCAATTCTCACCAAGACAGGACAATGATCTGAGAAAATTCCAGGAAGATTCAAGACAGTAGCTTCCTCAAAACAGGTTCTCCAAGCATCATTTGCAATGACTCTATCAAGTCTTTTGAACACTCTATCCAAATGAGGGAATTTGGGCCCCTTCCATGTGAATCGGTTTCCTCCCCCTCCCAAATCTATAACCCCGCATGCATTTAAAACATTATTAAACATAATGCATCTATTAACATCAACAGGCTTACCTCCTTTCTTCTCAGCAATTGAGGAAATCTCATTAAAGTCTCCTGACAGCATCCAAGGACTATTCATGGTTCTCCCAATAAGCTTCAGGTCTTCCCATAACACTCTTCTTTTTTCTTCTTTAGGGCTAGCATAAATAGCAGTCCAGAAGAATCCCTCCTTACCAGGAAACTCCACCCAACAATGGATGAATTGTTCCTGTTTCCTCTCAAGAGTGACACTCACCTCATTTGGGTCCCATACTATCCACACACCTCCTGCAAACCCATTGGCCTCAGAAATTATATAACTAGGATACTCCAAACCTCGAATAATTTTCAAGGCTATGTCACCACTAACTCTAGGCTCCAATATTGCAGCCACTCCAACTCTATACTTCTTCCTGAACCTTCTAAAGGTGCTTTTAAATTGTTTCTTTCCAGCACCTCTACAATTCCAGGTCATCAAATTCATCATGAATTTTGAGTTAGATGCAATATTTCAAAGTTCTTGCCACTTATCTCAAGGTTCTCAACAGATGCCTCCTGAATAAAAACATCTCCCTCACCATTAGTCTCAGCTATGTCAACCATATAGCCAAACTGAGTAGACTTTGCATTCTGATCCATCTCCATACTAGTGAGAGATTCTGCATTTTTTAAATTCTCCTTCATCAACAAGTCAGGTGGTTCAGGATCCCTTAACTCACACTCCAGTAGCAAACTACCAACTTGTTGAATGCTCTCTACATGATCCAGAGAAGTCTCAGAAGCTGAAGCTTTAGCAGCCATTACCAAATCCCCCCATAATTTACTTGAACATAGATCCAGTTTCTCATTAACTGGTGTCAGGGACACTGATCTAGTCTCAATTTTTGAAGAAGAAACAGGTGCCTGCTGGACCCCTTTCCCTTTAGCTGAAAATGCCTTATTCGAATTTCTTTTGCCTGTTAGTGCTCCTTGCTTCACACCAGAGTTCTTCTTGGGGGTGTTTTGGGCCTTAGCATTGAAATTCATCACCCCCTCAACATTCCGAACAGAATTAACCAATGATACATTCTCCTTATTCACCAAAGAAGTGGTAATATTAACCCCAGAGTCTTTATCAATCACTTCCTTCTGAATGATACTCCCACTGCTCTCACCAGACTTAATCCCCATGCCTTTCTTAGTATTGGAAATATCCTCCCCAAATGATCTGTTGTTCCTAGGATCACTTTTCAGAGCTGCTTGACTTCCTTTCTTCCTTCTTTGCACCTCCATCCACTCACCAACACCCTGAGCTTCAGCCTTTTCCACTGATTGGACAGGGTTCTCACAAGGTTTTTCCATTGGAGTTTGCTTAGCAACTTCTAGGCAGGAATCAAGATTATGCCCATATCTGCCACACTTCAAACATATAAGGTACAATCCTTCATATTCAATCGTTTTCCTACAGCCTTCCAGTACATACATCCCTTTCAAAGGTTTGGCCAAATCAATCTCGATGCATACTCTAGCAAACTTGGCCCTATCTCCAGTAGAAGTTGTTCTATCAACTCTTAAGACTTTACCAATCACAGATCCTAAGTGATTCAAAAATGAAAACTCACAGTATTCTTGTGGAATACCTGACAAACGCACCCATGCTGCTACCTTATGAATGTTAGCCTTCTTTGGATCAAAGCAAGGCTTCCATCTCCTGGTAGCCAGATAATGCCCTAATATCACCCAAGGACCTCCCGAAATAGCCAAATTCAGATCCTCCAGGCAGCTGAATCAAACAGAGAAAAAGTCATTCCCTAAGTCAGCTACTGTAATACTTCCCGCTTTGGCCCAGAGCACTTCCAACCTGCGCTTCATAAACCCAACACCAATCCTCTTACCCAGCAGCTTGACAATCAAGGCGTTCTTCCATCGCTGACGCATCCGAGCTCGAGCTTCACCATTGCTCTTAATCTCCACCAGTCCATCCTCTTTGACTACTGGCTGAAAGCCCCATTCAGAAATAGTCCCCTGATTTGGATCAAGCGGATCCAGATCAAGATCCTCCTCCTCCATCAGCCATGGTGATGCTTCGCCCGAAACACCATTCTCCATCCCTGTGACCTCCGCGAACGACCTCTGCTTAGCAAGACCCTTCTCACCAGATTGAAACTCAGACACAACTTCACGCATCCTACCTTAAGTCGAAATCTCTTCTCCATTCTTTGTGCGCTTTGTGCTCTTCCTAGTCATGCGCAACAGATCAGATTGATTCTCCTTCAAAGTCTCCATCGAACCAGCCATTTCTCAGAAAAGTAACCCTAGCAAATAGAAAATTTTCGCACGCGTGGCCAGACGCGCCTAACTAACCCATCGTCAATCAATGGTTTTTGTTTTCAGCTTTTCAATTGCAGGCTCTTTTCCCATTATTAACTTTCTAACAAGACATATGTTGTTGTTACGTTGGATATGTTAATAATATAGTCTAATAATACGTTCACGTACAAGTTTAATAGAAAATAGCATGATTACTTAAGCACATATGAGCTAAATTTCAATAACTTGCATTATTCTTAGGATTTTTTTTAAGGAGGAGATAACACGGTTGAATATTTCAAATATCATGCATTAATACTTCAATCACCTCTACGTCCTTCTCTCTTGAACCCATAACCTCCAACACTGTATATTCCGCATGAACACAACCATTAGCAATGAGTTTAATGATCTAGAACAGCAAAGGAATTATAACAAGGAGCTAAAAAAGACTAGTGGATATTGAGCGGATAAGCTGAGGAAATTAAACAGTAAGTGCATTGCAAATCGTAATGTATACGACTCAATATGTTCTTTAGTGTTTACCATGCAATGGCTTTACTTGACCTATGTATATGAATCATCCAAATTGATGGATATATGTTGATTCAGATATATACACCAATGTTTACTTTTCAGTGAGCGCATTTTGCAGGCATAGCAGAAACTTTATTATCCTACTTTAATATGTCATAGACTTTGGACTTACCTATATAGTTTTCAAGTTCGTTTGTAAAAATTTTGGAATTAATACTTACGAATGGTAACATGTGGTAAAGTATGACGTGATATTATAGCGCAGAGAAAACGTAACGCTGAGCGCTAGCATGACATGAGAAAATGTGATGTTGAGGTAGCATGACTTACATTCGTGAAACAGCAAAATAATAATAATATTTTATCAAAGAGGGTCAAATTAACCTATAAAATGGAATAACTATTGATTTAGTTCAGTCGCAAATGTAAATCATGGTTTCTCAGCATTCCCAATGGGCTGACACAGTTGCCCGTTCTTTTGCCTTGTATTTTGAATTGTAGCTTGCTCTTTCTCTCTTTCAATCATCGAATTGTACAAATTACATGTACAAAAAAAAAAAAAATTAAAAACATATATAGTCTTGATTACTCAACCTCATTACATTGAGGAGAATTTAATGACGCTGTTGATGTTGGATGACAATAGACGATTGAGGATCATTTTATCAATATTTGCATAGGAAAATGAAGAGAAGTAGTCCCAAAAAGAAAGACCTGCAACAATGCAACTAAAGTTGGCAATGCTTGCAATATGCACACACCGTGAAAATGACTAAATCCTTGGTATGAGATTAACATTGTGGGCTTTGCAGATATATATATATATATATATATATATATATATATATATATATATAGCAATAGAAAGTAATTCACAAAATAAATGAAAGGAGAAGCAGGGGATGCCAAATATACCAAATGTAAGGAGAATGGCTTTTAAATCTCGGATGACTCTCTTCAAATGCTGCATGCTTCGGCTCAAACACTTTTAAGCCATGACCACATACTTAGCATAAGTGATCCGAAACATAAAAATGTCTTGAATAGAAGACAAAACAGATAATCAAACAATACATGTCATAAAAATAAATAGTAATCAATTCATAGCATGACACATATGAAGTGAATTATCAAACACTTGGTACAAACCAAAAAGGAAGAGGGCGAGGACTTGATTTCTCCAGAGTAAAATATTTGATGCTGTTATCAGTCAAGCAAATCATCCCCAATTGAATGCTCTTCGATGGGTCTCCAGCACATGCATAACTAAGACCAAAATAAATACTATTTTCTTTAATTAACTCTTCAGAACTATTAAGAGAGGCCCTTGACATTACCATGCACTTAGTACTGTCACGAAACAACACCAGGTCCCCCAAATTATCAACCTTGATCCACTGATTAGTTTCATTACTTGTGTTCAACTTGAATACTTCAACTCTGGTCAGCTCAAGCGGGGCAACAAATTCGGTGACAATGTTCAAATAACCAACATGCCGTGTTTCATAAGCTACGTTAATGAACATGTGAATGAGGAATAAATCTCCTAATGCATCGTCTTTGGCTAGGCTGTCGTAGACTATACCCCTGTCAAAACGTTGGCTACCAGTTACAGTTGATATTACTCGTGGCCTTGGTGGAACCGTAGCTAATAATTTAGGCTTTGGAGGGTAATCACTCGAATCTTGCAAATCCCAAACCAATATGGAATTGGAAGTTGTAGCATACAATTTCGTATCAATAATTTCCACATCCATAAAATGAACCCCGGTATCCTTATCTGCTTCAATTGTAGTCCATGACTTGTCAGAAAGTCTACAAAATCTAATGTGACAATAATCACTGAAGAGACCAACCAAAAAACAATCCAAGCAATCGGGTTTGGAGGAGGCTACCATTTTTTTCAGCAACAACTTATCAGCTTGAAGGGGAGAGTTGGATGGGAATTTTAACACTGATGGGACAAAGACTTTAGCATTAGTTACTGGATTGAAGAAGAAAATGGTTAGACTAAGACTAAGACTAAGCAAATTAGAATATTCACTCACAATCATCCATCCTTCAACTGAGCCTCGAATGGTCTGCAATGTCTCTAATAGTCGTCTTTTGGGATAAAGTAGACCTTCTGTCCTCAAGCTGAAAACTGGGGATGGTTGGCAATGGGTGAAGAGGCCAAGCACTGGCAGTTTAAGCAATGGGTTGAAGAGGACAAGCAATGGCAGTTCAGGCAATGGGTGGCAATGCTTGTTTGCAATGGCATTAGCAACGGTATCCCTCCAAGGGGTGCATATTTCACGCAATCCAAGGCAATCTTCGAGGCACAAACGCTTCATTATCAGTTCCATGATATCATCTGGGAGACTTGTCCACGGGCACTCATCATGCTGCTTCTCTTCTTTTCCACTCAATAATGTTTTATTAGCAGTTGTTATACTACTCTTTAACAAGCTTACTTTCTGCGTGTTCCATATGCTATCAAAGCAGAATAGTTGAACGAGGGATGAACATCCCCAGCTTTCCTCGTGATGTGATAACATCTCTCCAAAGGGAAAAGACATCGATCAAGCTGTGCCAAAAAAATATTGTATCTTTGTCTTAACTATAGAACTTAGTTACAATCAACAAAAACAATAACAAAAATAGAGAAAGATCGATTAAATGTAAAACCAAATACTTCCAAGTCCACAATCACTCAAAGATTTATGGAAAATAAGAACAAGTTGTAGAATGCAAAGAAAAATTAAAATCAAAATTGACCAAAAAATACAAAAAAGCAAAACCTTGCAAAAATATTGAGGAAGGAGAGAGCAGTGAAAAACAACAGCAGCGCAGAACACTTAGAATGTTCAGAGTGGAACAAGAAGGCTTCTTCAGATTAGGCGTGAGATTCTTTTTTAGGTTATTTGAATTTGAACGTAAACAGACCTATATATGTGATATCTGTGACTCCTGCGTGTGACTGGATCAATTTTTATGGGTACAAGAATAATATCAAATATAACCCAATCAATTACAGTTGTTTGATATACCAAAAACAATGACTAAAATTGAAAAAATATAACCCAATCTTATAATGGTATAAATTGATTTAGTTCCTCTATTAAATTAGGAAAAAGTATGGAAAATAAGTTGTAGAATGCAAAGAAAAATTAAAATCAAAAAAATACAAGAAAAAAAAACCTTGCAAATTGCAAAAATGATTTTAATGGAGAAAATATAAATAATAAGAAAATAATTAAGGAAAAAAAAAATACCTCAAAACACCGTGAAGAAAGGAAAGAGCCGTAAAAAACAACCGCAGAGCAGAACACCTATATATAATAATGTTTATAGTGGAACAAGAAGGCTTCTACAATTTAGAATTGACAACTTTTTTTTTTTTTTTTGGTTATTTGAATTTGAACGAAAACAAAGCTATATGATATGTGTGACTCACTGACTCCTACTGTTTGTATGTGGAATGAAATTAGGAAAATAACTTCCGGTTATATACGTGACATATTAATGTAAGAATAATAATTCTTATATTTAATCTTAAGTATCTATTTCTATCAACTAATTGATTGGGTTATTCTTATTATTAATGAAAATAATCCAATTATTAATTGAGTATAATTAATGAGAATAACTCAATCAATTACCATCATTTGATACAGGAAAATCTACAAATGAGAATTGAGTGTAAAATTTATTATTTTTAAATCGATGTAAATTAATCATATCCCTGTATTAAATTAGAAAAAAAAAATCTGTTGTTAATGTCAATGGGCTTAAAACCTTTTTTGTTTTGTTAATTAAAAAAATAATTTATTCTTTAGTATTCACTTAATTATCAAAAACATGATATTTTACTCGATCGAATTATATATAGTTTGCACCATTAATTATTAATATATTTAAAAACAATACATATTTACGCAATAATATTGATTGTAAATTTGTAATCACCCTTTTTGTTCAATTTTTAAAATATACTTGCGAATAATTAATGTTAAAATATATGAAAATAATCTCATAATATCTTAATTATATTTTAGAGTAATTTAGAGCATCTTACATAACCCCTTAAGAAAAATTTTATTATTATTTGATCATTAATTTCGTTAATATTCATATAATTAAAGATGACATCATATTTACCAATAAAAAAAACGATGACAAGCATCATAAAATATCATATCAAATTATCAATACATATTTCATTCTTATAATTTCTATCGTTAAATAGTCACAACACCTAGATCTACATCACCCCAAAAGCTGGTCCAATAAAACGACTAGTAACCATGTTCAATAGAATGACACTTTGGGATTTAATTAAGCTGAAAAGTACTTTAAGAGGATCTTTAAGGATTTATTTTCTTATTTACAAATATCTTATAATTTATCTCTATTTCTATAACCCTGGGAATTAAATTTTTTATCTTTTGAATTAAATCATATCAAACACATATATATATATGTGTGTGTAATGTATGATATGATATTATTACTACTAAATAATATTACTACTAATGTCATTACCATATCTTAACTAATGATTTCTGCCAATCAACAATTATTATTTTCACAAATCAAACTCATTAATTAATTATTAATTCGCAATAAATAATAACCGTTAATTGACAGAAATCAACGATTAAGATATGGTAGTAACAATATCCTATCCCCATATATATATATATATATATATGATTTTTTATCCAAACTCTTTTTTAATACTATTTAAAACTTAATAAATATATATATTTTATTTTTTTAGAGAAAAAAAATAAAGTTGTGACAGAAAAAGAAAAATCAAGACTGAATATTTTGAAAACTTACAAAAAAAATAAAATATGTCTAAATAAAAAAATATATTAAGAAAAAAATAAAAGAAAAATAAGGCCAAATATATTAAAAAAAAATTAATACGGACAAAAAAAAGGCTAAATAGAAAAAATAGAATTAAGACAAAAAAAAATAGAAGACAAAATAAGGAGAGAAAAAAAGAAAAAAAAAAATTGTAATTTTCTAATATATTTGACTTTTTTTTTCACTCTTTAGTCTTTTAATTTCTAACACGGTTAAAAGAAAAAGAAAAAGAAAAAGATAAATCAAAGAAAAAGAAATTATTGTGGTAAATTTTTAACATACTTAGGGGAGTGTATTGGATTGGAATTTCAAAGGATTTTAACGGATTGTTTTTGGACAAAAAATTCTCGATTAGGATTATAATGGATTGAAAAAAAGTCATGTGGTATTCGATTAGGATTTTAAAGAATTATTTTAGAATCCGTTGGTATTCAATCATGGTTTTAAACAATGGAATCACAATCTCGTGGTATTCAAAAATCTGACAATTTTAATGGATTTTCTATTGGTGTGGATTTCGTGAGACTTTTTAGTGAAAAATATAAATAGGATGCTCCTCTCACAATCTCACCCTAACTCCTAGGATTTCTTGAGATTCTTCTATTGCAGTGTTTTCTTCTTCCTTTGACAGGTTGACTACTCGAAATTGGGTTCCGTCATGAGAGCTTCATCAAAACTTAAAAAAAGCATATTTTTTAGCGATTTTCATCACAAAACAATCTAAACACAACAAACCAACGAGATTTTGATATAATCTATCTCAAAAATAACATATTTTTCAGCCATTTTTGAGAAATTTTGAAAGTTTAAAAAGTGATTTTTCAAGATATGGGTCGTAGTTTTACTTGGCACAAAAACATGTAATTTTTCTAAACTTTCATGTAATTAAACCCAAAATTTCAGATTTAAAATTTTCTTAGAATATTCAATGAATATGCATATGATATATGATTAGAAAACTTTTATCACGTAAAACAAAAACTCCAAGGTTTTCAAGATCAATTGCAAAAAAATTCAAACGAAATTTTATCATGAACTTTATGTTCTATATGCAAACTTAGAATTGTTTTTATAATTAAAAAAATTGGGTCTTATAATCATATATGCATAACTTTGATACCAAATGAAGAAGATAATTTTCAACTCATTAGATAAGTGAAAAAGCTATTGTTTAGTAATTTTGAATGTTTGTTAAAAATTATATTATGTTTTACTTATTGAGAAAATTATATTAGGTTTTACTTTTTTTTATTAATTTCATTCCATTTCTTTGTTACTTTTTTATGGGAAATATTATACTTACAACCTATTTTTGTTTATAACCTTTTACAACCATATATTAACTGTTGATTTTCGTCAATCAATGGTTATTATTTTCGCAAATCAAACTCATTAATTAATATTTAATTTAGAAGTTATCCGTTGATATATCACTACAAAAAAATGAGTAATTAGTGGAGGTTATTTAGTGTAGGTCAAAAAAACCTCCACTAAATAATGTAATTTCTGGCAGATTCTAGACCTCCACAATTTATTATTGTTTTTCTACTTAATATTACTTTATCTCGTTTAATGAATCTTAATGACGTGTAAAAAAAATTTATTATTTATTACATAGTAAAATTTATTATTTTAAATTTTTTCACACGTCATTAAGATTCATTAAACGAGATAAAGTAATATTAAGTAGAAAAACAATAATAAATTGTGGAGGTCTAGAATCTGCCAAAAATTACATTATTTAGTGGAGATTTTTTTGACCTACACTAAATAACCTCCACTAATTACTCATTTTTTTGTAGTGAGACATGGTAGCTAAGTCAAGAAACTAATAAAGCTATTATTATCAACTAAAGAAAAAACACTATTATCACCATCGCATTATGTTTCAAACTAATCGAATGAGTTCAGGCCAAGTTATATTGATTTTTTGAAAGAAAACAATGTGCTTAAGCAGATAAAATTTAAATTAGTTAAAGTTGGATCGTGAATTCAGAATTGTATAAAAAACAGAAAATTCGAATTAGGACAGATTAAACAAATCTTAAATTTATTGATTCGTTATTCTAACTAATACTAATGAAGTGCAAATTCATTTTACTTAATTTGACCAACTCGGTCCTTAAATTTTGGATTGAGTCAGACGTGGCAAGTTTAGCGGAACATTATGAACATGTGCGAAAAGGTCGAAACTCGAAAGGCATTGGCGTGTGGAGTTGGACCCACACTGAGTCAAAGTTGTTGATCTTCTTCTCTCTTGTTTTTTTGGTAATGAAGTGCTTGATCTTTTCGTTATGAGTATTTCAAGCTTTACACATCATATCATATTACAAATTAAATAATTTTACCTTGTTTTAATTCTCACCACAAATTAAATCTAAATACCACAAGTTTGTAAAGAAAATTAAATTAATAACCATTGCATTTGAAATTTGAAACAAAAGAAACACCAACAATACAATGATAGTAAGTTTAACTCCTAATAAGAGTTGTAAATCCCGAAGAAAGTAGACAGGATTAAACCCGAATTGAATTAATGGACTCATTACTCATTAAGGTTTCAAATACCGGTTAATATTTATAAAATAAATACATTAAATAGCAGTTAATTTCAAACAAAATCCTCACCTTAATTACTTTGCTTCTTTTGTATGTTAAAGTTGATTGACTCACGACTCAAAATATTGATAATTTAGTTATTGGA